GTTGTTTTGGGGTGAGGAAGATTGTAGACATCAATGGAGCCAGTCCAAATATTTATTCTAACTTTTCAATTCTTTATGCAAGCCCATAACATCTCAATGTCATTAGTTGATAGTTTTTTCATCCTACTAATGTAACTGGAACTCTAAAACCATCTCCCTCACTAGAACTCCTACATAAGAAGTAAACTTAGATCCATTCTCTCCAATTGGTTGTCCCATCTCGCTAATGTAAGTGAAAGGGTCGTTCATTGGTAAAAATAAATAAATAAATAAATTTAAATTTGCCTTGCCCCTCCCTTTTTGCTTCCAAGGATTCGTTGTGTTTTCATCAGGTGAAGGGCTACCTCTATTTACAGCGAAACACTACGAATTCCCTCAATAGGGATAGGCGGTGTCAAGATTAAACTTTTCCTAAACACACACTACAGACCTTTTCAAATCAAAATAAATAAATAAATTTAAATTTGCCTTGCCCCTCCCTTTTTGCTTCCAAGGATTCGTTGTGTTTTCATCAGGTGAAGGGCTACCTCTATTTACAGCGAAACACTACCAATTCCCTCAATAGGGATAGGCGGTGTCAAGATTAAACTTTTCCTAAACACACACTACAGACCTTTTTCAAATCAAAATACAACCACAAAATCAATGCCATTGATTACTAAATAATTGTATCACTATGTGTACAACAAACATATTTACAAGATGAGGGAGATTATGAGATGGATTGAGAGTTAAATAGGACAATATAAATTGAAAATAAAAAATTGAGAGTTAATAGAGAGAGAGCAAAGTGTTGAATATTTTTCACACACATAATTTATATGTGTAAGTCTTGAAAATGGGGGAGACAAGTACAAGGAAATGTTGGAATAATAAATTAATACTAAATACATTTTTTTGATAAATTAATACTAAATACATATATTAAAAAAGCCTCATTTATAGAGTTTGCTAGCTTTTGCATCAACCCTATCATGTGTGTAGATGCCTAAAGATACATTACACAAAGGTATACTCTACATGCCATTTGAGAAAGAGGCAATAATCTTGAATAATTCTTGATCCAAATTGACTTATAATAATTAATTATAAGTAAAAACTAATTGGACTACCTATGTATTGGTGGCTTTGAATTTTAACTCCTAAATTCCTAGTTAAAGATTTAAGACTATGGAATGAAGAAATAGAATATGCGTGTGTATATATATATGTATGTAATGTGTATAAATTTCCTAGTTAAAGATTTTGACACATAACACTAGATCAAACTTAGAAGAAGTAATTTAAATATATAGAGAATGCTATCGTTAACAAAGGTTGGAATTTGAATAACTGACCAACAAATGAATTTCACACATCACCCATTATGACAAAGAAATATTAATTAATGTAAAACACCCATCTATTACGTTGGATTATGATTTATAAACGTATTTAAATGAACACTTGCTACTCATTGTTATCTTTGGAGTCTAGGAGATAAAAGAAAACTTTTTAAGATTATCCTTTCCAACTTTTCTTTTTCTTATACACTTTGTTTTCTTCTGCTTAACAAAGTATGCCTCCAAGATCACATGTTTTTGAGTCATTTTGACAAATCCATTAAGAGAATAATAATCCACATCAATGGAGCACTGTTTATTTAATCTGCTTTAAAACTGAGGCCCACATTCCACAATGATGAGCAGCAAATTAAGATAAATGGGATGATGAAACCTATATGCTACACACTCAGTCCAACAGGAAATGATTGAACGATTGCCTACTTTGGTGTCCAGGGCAGGCTAAGAGGTCTCCATCTAATTTAATTTTTTTTAAATTGCTAAAATTTGAAGAAATTTTAGTATACTATTGGTTATCTAATTTTAAATGATTTAGCGACCTTAAATAAATAAAATCTAAAGGTCCTAATCCACCAAAATCCAAACTTGATCTCAAATTTTTTATAAGCATTTGATATCAAATTTTTTGGATTTCCGTGTTGAGACTAATCCTAAAAGGCTCGTAAACTGATCCAACAAGTCCACCATCAAATACTTATATATGTTTTTTCATTTTTTCAAAAGCAGAGGAGCATAGATTAATGACGAAAAGAAATAAAATCCATTGCAATATGTTCAATATATACACACAGATACATATACATATGTGTGTTAGCGAGTGTGTGTGAAAAAGGAATCAAGAGGAAGGAATTAAACAGAAAAAGTTACGGTTTGCTTACTGATCAGACAAAGGAATCTGAGCCGTGTGTTATCATTTAGGGCTTAAGACTTGCTTCGATTGATGGCGAACTGGAGGAGGTTTGATTGAAAGTGTATCAGTCTTTAATGAACAATACCACAAATATAAATATGCATATATTTCAGATTCATCAACACAAACAGTACCTATTTCAAGAGTTAGAACGTGACCGGAGGCTGAGATGACGGTAAAAAACCCCAATTGTTTCCAACCGTCCAGTTATTGCCGCTACACCAGAAATTAGGAAGAGAAAAGTTAGGGTTTCATCAAAGAGGGAAAGAGGAACCGTTGAGCCTGAGTATTTGATTTCCCTTCAGCAGATCGAAGATTGTTCGTGCTATAGCAGATTGTATCTGTATCGCAGGAAACAAGTGAGGAAGAAAGAGTCGTGAGAAAGGGCTACACCGAATGGAATATGAAAGGCATTAGGGCTTGAAATTAGGCAAGTGTAGAAAAGGGCATTTTAGGCAACACATAAAATAGGAAGAAGGGTATTTTAGGCAACAGAAATATCAAACAGTATTTTTTCATGTGCCACCTCAGCTTTTGGGTCAAACCCATTTTAAAGAAACTATGGAACTTTGACTCAGTCTCTTAGTAAATATGGTACCCTAAGTCCATTTATATGTAATAATCCCTTCAAACAAATTATATAGGTAATTAGAATTTAAATTCCTAAATTTAACAATTTAAGGATATGTATATTAATTAACAAATTTAGATGTAATATTAGTTTCCTTTTTTGAAATTGTAATCCTAAATTCCTAATTAGAAGTTGAATACCAATTGTAAATTTTGAAATCGACCCCTTTCTTTTCTTGCAAGTCTTCCAAAGAAAACCTAGAGCCGCATCCACTTTCCATTCCGCTTCAATCTCGGTGGTTGTCTTCTGTATTTCCATTCCAGAGCTTTCTGCCTCAATCACTCATTTTCCATAACAGATCCATCACTGCCAATCATCACCGGTTTCCTCTGATCGCGCCGTCAATCAGTCGAGATCAACATCTTCATTAGTCTCGGTTCATCCTTGCTGCTCGTTGCCGGTCATTACCGCTACAGAACAGACCCACTTCTCCCCGGGTTGTTCTTTTTGCGCCTTGAAGCACTGACCGGTTCAGTTTCGAGGTCGCCTTTTTCATTCAACCGGCTACTCTTGCTCTGTCAACGTCGGCAGTTCTGAGCTCATCATTATTCTCTGCCGCAGGTGTAATCACTACTGTTCTCTGCGAGCACAAAGCTCACCGGAATAGCGACTCTGACAGTCGCCATCATTCGTCGACGTAATCAACTGCCGGTGTCTTTGCCACCGTCACTTTCTCACAGGCGGGCGCTGTCGCCGGTTCTGTTATTGATTCTCGACAGCTTCCATTCTTGCTGCTTCTTCTGTAATTGGAAGGTGTCCCATTTTTTCTCAATAAATTCCTCTTTTCTGTTCACAACATGTTTTTAATTCCACTAGGGTTTCACTTCGACCCCACAGAAGTTGAAATCATCCATTACCTGAGCAGAAAAGTGAAGGGAGAGAGCATACCTGAGGGTGTAATATTAGACATTGATCTTTATGGCAAAGCTCCCTGGGACATATTAAAAAAGGAAGATCCATGGCATGCGAGTAGCAAGAATAATTGTCAATTCATTATCTATGTCTTCACCAAGTTGAAAAAAATTAGCGATAAGAAGAGAGTTGTAAGGAGAGCCAGGTATGGGACTTGGGATGGCCAAACATAAACAACTTATTGATTCTAAGAAAATGTTGGCTTTTGAAGCAAATATCAAGAAAGATGAGTGGTTGCCAAGAGGTCATTGGACTATGCATGAGTATTCGTTAGGCGATGTAAGTTTGGATGGGTTAGAAGAAGGTAATGATCAAGATTATGTTATTTGTACGATCAAAAGAGATGACTCTAAATATTTGAGGAGAGCACCAAAGCATGCTCGTGAGGTATCCAAAAAAGAAAGCCCTAGTCAGAAGAAGAAGATGCGATATGTTCATGATGAGGCCTTTACGAGTACTCCTCCACAAAAGACTCCGCTTGCAACCTTCCGATTTTCAGCCTCTCCCAACATATTATGATGAGACTACAAGACTCTTTGATCTGTGTAACATCAAATGTTGTGGTACAATAGAAGGCTTGCACCAAATAGACTCATTTCAACGTGTTCCGATATTCATCCGTTGTTGCCACCACATCATGATGATACCAGTACAATGAACTCTTGTGATACAGTACAAGACCAAGACCTGCAGTAGATTGAGTCATTTTTTTACGATTTTGATTTCAAAACTGATTTCTTTGTTTCGGAGATGGAGGCACGCATTAAGACTTTTTCTGAAAGTCTTCTGTCTTAAGACGATGAGCTTGTATGTGCAGTTACTAGTTCTTCCTTTTGTTCATTGTTCATTGTCCATTGCTTTTTTACACGTGTTTGTTTTCTCTATATGTGCCTATGTGCCTCTTAGATGTATTTTCGAATTTCCTTTTTCTGGATTGGTGAGTTTTTGAAGCCAATATTAAATTCTGAATGATGTCATGTGAGCAGTGCTTAATTTGTGTTTCTAAAGACTTTTAGATACCATTGTTGAAGGCATATGTGCTTGTATTTTTAGCTTTTAGTTTGTTCCACTTGGCTTGTTTAATCAAGGATGATCTATGCTATAAATGAGGATTGAAGGTTGGTTTGCATCTTGTAGGTGATTTGTGACATTAAAATTGATTTTTAAATATCTGTTATGACGACTTAACACAGGTTGCTTCCTTTCATTTTGTGGGTTTTGTGAGAGGGAAGTAAATGACCCTTTGTAGGTTTCCTAATTGATGAATTTTGGAATTTCATTTTTTTTCGTATTTTTTCTCTCCCTCTTTTTAAGCAAGATTCAATGATTTCCTCAAATTAGTAAGTTATGTATTCAGCACTCAGTCTGGAGGTCGAGGTGGTGGACGGAGGAAAGAATCAGGTAGATCCCATGCCCTGCATGCTCGTTTCGAAGCAGGCTGTTCCTCTGTTTTAGAGAAAGCAGGCAGCCTTTCTCTGATACAATTGTAGATTTGTGCAAGATTACTCCACGATTATGACATACCTGCAACATGTGTAAATCCCATGTGACAAATTAACATGCTGAGGTAAGGCCATCACCAAAATTGAACGACAGTAATAATCACATATAGAAATAACAGAGGGAAAATTGAAGGAAGGAGAGAGAAACACTATCAATACCTGAACCACCTCGACAATCGTCCTGGTGACCATTGCAGCAGCTTGTTCGCTGTAATGCCCTCTTGCAATGATCCTATCGAACAATTCTCCGCCCTCACAGAGCTCCATTACAAGATACACAGCCTCTCTGTCCCATAAACCTCCTTGTACCTAACAATATTCGGATGAGGCGGCAAATGCCTCATGATCTCCACCTCCCTCCTCACATCCTCCACCGCAATATCACTCTCCAGCTTGCCCTTCGATATCTTCTTGCATGCTAGGGTTTCGCCTGTCTCCATGTCCAAACACTGGTTGGTCACCCCGAATTCCCCCCTCCCCAATTCCTTCCCGAATTTGTACCTCTTGAAAATGTCATTCTCTGATGGATCTTTCAAGATTGTGATCAGTCTGGAAAACTGTGGGGTGATCGGACCCAAGAATTAGAGCTTTGTCTTTGAGTGAGCATTTTTTAGGTGCATGTTATCTCCCAAATGCATCTTCCTCTAATAAGGTATTCTCTAGCCCTTTGTGCCCATGAACTTTGTGTATTGTTTGAGATTAGTTGCCATAAATTGCTGATATGGGGTTTTTGAGGTATAGGCTTTTTGGAGGTAGTTTGACACATCAAGATATGCTGTGACTGCTGTCTTATATTCAAATGTTCTTCCTATGTCATGTAAGCTCTATAACCATTCTGATGTTTTTCGTTTTTATGTTTCCTCCCTCTTAGGGTCTGAAATTATTGAAGTTTTTTTTACCATCAAAGGCAGTCCTCACTTCTATCTTCTTTGGGAGAAGGGGTCAAGGATGCTGGGGAGCTAATTGATGTAAATTGCTGATATGGGGTTCTTGAATTATGGGATTTTTTGAGGTAATTTGATGATACACATGAATCTAGGTTTCAATTTACTTTTTTGGTGTTGAATCTAGGTACACCACATCCAAACTCGAGCTTAGAGGAAGTGTAGGATGTCGAGCTGAAGGAAAAGACAATCAATCTGCGGATTGTGAGTAAAGACTCCATCTATACATACTTAGAAGCCTATTAGTTGGGATGATCCACACCAGCTAGGAACATAAAGCTTTTTTCAGGGCATTTTATCTCCCAAATGCATCTTCCTCTAATAAGGTATTCTCTAGCCCATTGTGCCCGTGAACTTTGTGTATTGTTTGAGATGAGATGCCATAAATTCTTTAGGACAGCTGCTTTGTTGAGTAGTTCAATATTTGGGATTTTGAGACCCCCATTTGCCATGTAGGTTTGACTTTTGAGCCTGCCAATAAAAAAATTCTTGCACAAACGGTTAATATCAGTTAATACTGATTTAGGAAGCACAAACATGGAGTTAATGAGTAGCAGTATTCCCACATAGGTCAGAAATTTGCTTGTCCAGTGATCTATTCTCTTAGTGATCTTGTCAGCCAGCACCTTGCAATCCACTGCTTTGAGTCTTGTTGTAATTAATGGAACCCCAAGTGCCTCATAAGCCGACTCACACTGTTAAACCTCAGCAAGTTAGAACTAGGAAGATCGACAGTCATCCTCAGTTGCTTCCACCGAAACAAAGGCCGTGTTCCTCATTACCCAACAATACATCCTTTGATAGTTTGATGCAACTACTGCAATGTCCGATATTCAGCCACTGCCAGCACATGATGATGATGATGAGATTGCAGGATTGTTTGATCTGCCTACATCACAATGAACTCTTGTGATACAATAGAATACCTGCAGCAGATAGAGTTATTTTTTGAGAACTTTGATTTCGAAACTGAATTATTTGAGAAGAACATTGATTCAGAATTGGAGGCACGCGTCAATGCTTTATCTGAAAGTCTTCTGTCGGATGAGCCATTACTTTCAGTTGAAAACATATAGCTATTTTAAGATGAGCTTGTATGGTTGCTAGTTCTTTCTTTTGATTTTTTAATTTCACTGTTCATAGTTGTAATCTGGAGACTTAATCCAATGTAGTTATATGTAGCGTGGCAGTGTTGTCCTTATTTGCTATTGTTGTCGCTCTGCATATGCATCTAGTGATCAATATCTTCAGCTTTTGCTTTTGTTCTACCTAGACCACTATTTCTGCTATAGTTGTTGCGACCAAATTCTGTGCCTTCCATTGCTGCTCTGAGTTGAAGAAACGGATCCTCTACTTTCTGTGTTTTGGTTTCGAGGTTATTGCAACTTTCGGGTTATGTAAGCATATTTAATCACATCATTCCATAATGTGGTTAGTTTATTGATGTTGTTTTTCCAGTTGGAGGAATCCAGAACAATTAAGAGAATATACACACTAATTAATATATAAGACAGGAGGTAAAACATGCATGTATCTAGTTAAGATAGTTATCTTAGATAAAAATTAAAATAAAATAGTAAAAAAAAAAAAACTATGTTTCTACTTTTATAGTTTTCACTGCTGCATCTTTTCCCTCTTCTTGCTTATCAGTAACAGTAGCTTCAACATGTGGTTAAAAAAATATTCACTTCTTCTGTATGCTTGGTCCTGAATGCTACATATATGCACTGAAAAATGAATACAAGGATTTGATTACATTGAAATCTGACATGCATTTAGTACAATTGACAATTCCACAACTAATAAATGTGAGGGAGTGGAATCTCCCAAATAGTGCTGGCATGAGACATTTATGAGATGGTTGAGAGACTCCTGAATATTGCAGCATCCATATTAATTTATTTTGAATTTTCTAGTGTCCACATTAGGCCATCATTAAGGAAGAGAGACAAGGACACGCTGTATCAGAGTTCAAATATCTTATGATAGGAGCTCATCAAATTGTCTGGCTCTTGCTTATGCGTTCAGGGATGGTCGACATTCCAGAGCTGCAGACTGGGTATGTGTTTCTTAGTTTTGGTCTTAACTCTTTTCTCTCAGAAATTTGCATTCATGCAAGTTGATTATATAGCATAGTCTTCAATTATTATGGTGCTTGAATTCTAGATTACTCCCTTTGTTCTCCTGTCCTTGTTACCATAGTCAGAGTAATATCAAGTATCAAAAATAAGATGTTCGACAAGAATTGAATAGAGTCTAGTGTGTAATTTATTTGTCCATAAGAATTGAAGTGAATATAAGTAAGGGAGATGCAAAAGTGGTTGTACTTCATGTTACCTCAAATAAGAAAGCTTAATAACCTAGGGTCATTTGACCTATACGAGAGCATTGTGATGTAGTCCATAAGAAGTTCTTAGAGAGAGAGCTCTGATTCGGTTTTATTTACTTCCAATAAAAGTTTTAGAGACGAGATATTTTGTAATTTTCAGATTTTCTACACATGGGTTTCACTGGTTGAACCTTTTTAGAATTGTGTGATGAAGTTGCAATCCTGTGAGCGATGTGTGTTGGAACTAGAGGGCCATTGCCTGATTAGCGGTTTAACGTTTGAATATTAGTGCCATTGTTGCGAGTTCAAGCCTCTCGTTAAATACGAAAGGGTAGATCTTCCTTGAGACCTCTCTACGCATGTAGAACTGGGTAATGTCCCCTTATGTTTGTTGGAACTAGGTGTGATGCTTTACTTATAATACTTTTCTTCTTCTTTTCGTTTAACATTTGCTCTATACTTGCCATCAATCCATAACCTGACCTGCCTTTATATCGTCAAAAAATCAACATTACAAGCCCTAACCCCTCCCACTTGTAAATATTCAACCAGACCATACAGAAGAACACGGACCAGGTTAGGTTACTATTAATAGTAACTATTCACAACTCCTAACAATCCTTATTTGCTCTCAAAATTATGTGTCATAAACTTTTTGAAATCCTGGAACCAGTATTAGTATGTGATGTTGCGAGTTCAGGGAATGCTTTTGTAAAAGTACTGATTCTCCAGTTGATGGAGGGCAGCTCTGTTAGAGCGCTTATAGAGCCTCCTACAACTGATTTTGCAGTGGGCTTAACTTAAGGAGAAATTTATAATTTACAGTTTGAGAAAGAACGAATCTTGTAGGTTTCAAGGATGACAAAGGATTAAAATTGGCTAGGTTATTGGTTGTGTGTTTTGCAGGAGATCTAAAGAAGACAAAGTTGGCAACCGCTGTTCAATTATGGATGGTATTGTCACAGAAAATGCCTCTAGTGTATGGAATATTAAATAGACAAGGGAATGACTGAAGAACATAGGAGAGATTGGTTTTTGGGGAATCTGTGAGACCATTGAACTGTAATCAGTGAACGTTGTTTAATGGAAGAAGTAGGAATTACTTTTAGGATGGTAACTTAGAATTGCATCAACAATCTCTGCAACGCTTTAAGAAGCTTCTGAAATTTTATATACTTATCTCTGTTGAACTTGAAGTAGTACACAGCTATGGATCAGACTTAGAATTGGATTTTTCTTATGTGTTGGAATCAATTTTAAAGAGGTTCTAAGAATTTTTTAAACTTACCTCGGTTGAACTTGAAGGAGTTTCTTATACATGGTTGCTGGATTTTTTCTTAATGTTAATACTCGAGTTTTCTTACTCCTTCGAGGACTTTGACTTGGAAGTTGGAATTGAGAATTTGATTCACTAAATCTATCTAACCATGTCCCCAATAACATACTTTGAAATATAATCCATGGGATGTAGTGGGCTACTACAGCCATGTGGAGCCACTCTGATCAGGGATTCAGGGGCGGAGCCCGGGAAGGGGGGGGGGCGGGTTTGATTCTCAAGCAATAAATATAAACTAAATGGAACTCTATAATGCAATTTTCATTTTTTTTTTACCATGGGATGATAGTTTCTTCTTATTTCTATATACCAAACATACATATGGTACAGAAGGATCTCTTTTTCATCAGCTGTTTATGTAACATGTGCTTTCTAAATGCTATACTTTAGAAAAAACCACTTTAAAATCTCTCATGAGTTGTTTTTTTTTTCTTTTTCCATGTCGACTTAGGTTTTGTTTTGTTCCATTTTGAAGGTGGCATATCTTTTTGAAGACTAATGGACAGAATATCCTTAAAGATCTTCTGCCTTTCATACAGTTGGCCAAGACATTGGGATCAAAATGAAGGTTGCATTGATTTCTGTCCTCCCAGAGATGCGAAAATACATGAAGAAGATTCTGAAGGTTTGCACTTAGATTGATTTCCTGCATGGTTCTTCAGTTGTAGAAATTGTAGATTTAGTTCATCTCCGAGTGAGACCTTTCTTGAAATATTTAAAGGTATGTGGAATCTTTATGAGTTTGTATTTTCTCTTCATCTGAAGTTGTAAGATTCTTCTCTTCCATGCATCTCTCTCTCTTTAAAATTCATTGAGAAGAACGTTAATTACAAAGAGAACATGCTTGGAAAGGTGGGATATTTGGTGAAACTAAGGGAGCTATTTGACAGAGTGACTGCTTTATGGGGTTGGTGCCAAATGTGGGCTAGAGAGTGGTGCTATACAACGTGGAGTGTTTGCTCAGTTCATGACTTGGGTTTAGTTCATAGCGGATTTGTTATCAGTCAGCTTACTTCAGAGATTTGCTGATTGAGAAGTTAAGGTTATGATGATAGTAAAGGCGAGGATCCTAAGATGGATCAGTCAATTGGAGGAATTGTTGGATCAGTGAGCATAGAAATCGAGGTTGCTGGTACTTAAGGAAATGATCTTCGCAATGCACTGTATTTGTCATAGCTAGCATTGCAATGCTTGGAATGTGAATCAAAGATGGGTTGGAGGAATGCAAGTTATAAATGGTAGTTGAATTTGATTTCACATCTGGCGTTTTGCTACATCATTAGTATGTCAGTATTCATTGTTGCAGTGGGATGGTGTGGATTTGCTACAGAATGGAGCTCTATGGCATCCCTATTTTTTCCCTTTTCCACATAATGTACTCATTTTTCCCTTTTTCATAGATATTAACAGAAAATTATTATCTTTTATTGTTTACATGTTGTATTTCTCTATTCAATTTGTTGTTGCTCGTTTCCTTAAGATGCATGATAATTTTATCCTATCTTTAACGCGTTGGTTATTGCATCATGCCATTACCGCAAACTTGCAATTTACTTGCTTGTCTACATGTACCTTGTTTCAATCAGGTTCATTTCTTTCATTACTTTGAGGACTCTATGAAATCTTGTTGTTTTAGGGCGCCTTGCACCTTCAATAACAATAACGATACATGATAAACAAAATTTTAGATAGCGGATGTATAATAATAATTTTGTTAGTTTATCCGAATTAGGATGTAAAGAATATTTATTGATTTGTTGATGTGAGCCTTAATGAAGTTACTCTAATGCAGGTCTTGTTTTCAGTAATTTGCTGTGTCAGGGTGATCATATTGCGTAAAGTCTTCCTTCTGTGTCCACAAGCTTGGGCTTATCGACGTGACATGTACTTCGTGCTTATTTTGCTTTCACATTTTACTTGCATGGGTATGGATAGATCTGAGAAGAGATGGATAATTTTTTTTTCAATGGATTTGTGCAGGATGTACCAGACACGTGCTAAAAGGCGATTAACCTATACTATCCTCGTCTACACAGGTTGCTAGGAGGGAAGATTGGAGACAAAAACTAACATTTGGCATTATTTTTGAAGTGACTGATCAAACTGACGTTTTCACACGCTCGTCAGCTCAAGTTTTTACCATTGTACCAAGTAAAGACTCCTACCAGAGGTATGCGAAATTGTAAAATTCTCAACTTTTACATTTGCAAACTAATTTTTGCATGGAAAATGACTTAAACTAACCATCCTACCGGTTGAAAAGGAGATTGTGAAATACTAGTTCCTCATCCAAATGCATATCTTTTTATGTGAACAGAGCTTTGGTTCTCAACTCCTGTCTCAACATTGGTGGTTAGGTCACTGGTATCTCAACAAAAAGGCTTCACCACATCCATGCTTTTCGGTGTTAATTAGGTTGAAAGTCCATCTAGCCTGCATCTCCTCCTGTTGTTTCAATGCCGTTTCAATTGGCAATGACAAGTCTTTTTGCAACCATCTGGTAAGGACACATCTACTAAGTGACATCTCAATGATTTGCTTTCGATTTAGGTTTGTCTGGCAGAAAATGATTTTTTAAGTCCTAGCAGCAGCCAATTTGATTTATCTAAATTGGGATGTCCAGATAATGCATTCTTTAGACCTCTAATTCAGAATCAGTCGCCGTTATTTCATTGCTGCTTCTCTGAGGATGTCTTGTGAAGATCTCGGATTTTGTTTTGGTGCAAAATGATTGTAGCTAATGCTATTTTCCGAACATTTAACCCAAGAAAACATATTTTTAAAAATGGTCTTTTTAAATTATGGACTTCTGTTAGAAATCTCTCTCGTTTCGTTCGGTAAGAAGCTTTCATTTCTTTTCTTCCCCATGTGTTTAATTTTAGGTGAATTATTTCTTTTCTTATTTTCTGTTTTCCCAACTCATACCTATTGGAGAAATTAAACGTTTTGAAGTATAGTCGTAAAAAGTTTGGGCTTCCCAGTGTGAGAATCTGGTTTCAGAAACTAGGCCATTCATTTTATATTGCCTGTTGTGTGCCTTTTGGGCTTGTCATTTTTAATGTGCCGCTATTTTTGGGCCTTTCCACAGAGTTTCTGTTAGGTCGATACATATTCACTCATCTATACATTTGGTTGAATTTCCAGGAAAAAAAAAAAAAAAAAAAACAACAACAACAACTTGATAACCATTTTCCACTAAAATTTTACCATTTTCTTATATAAAAAAAACTACATTTTAAAGGAATTGCAAATCATAAGCAATGGGGGCCACACCAAGACCAAACTCGATGGTAAAGCAGGACTTCTATGGCAAATCAGCCCATTAATATGGTTCTTTTATTTTGTTTGACAAAATATGAAAAGTGAAATTGCTTCAAATTTACTAAAGGTGTTATGGTTCAGTGTATCTCCTTTACTTTTTAAAGTGGATGGTGAAAGTTCGAATTTTCAAATGAGCAAAGTTGGTGTGTGAGTGATGGGTGTGTGAGTTTCTCGCCAATGACAAAAAACAAAAACAAAAAATTTTCTCAGATTTTGCATTGTGAAAATCGAACCAAAGTGTTCCAAGTGAACAAAGGTTTGCATTGTGAAAATCGAACAGGAACATCAAAGTGAACAAAGGTAACTGGGGGAGAAGGAGTTTCCAATGTGAAATACCAACAATTTTAACCCAAATCTAAACCGAAAAGAACAAATATCCAATATCACCTATAAATGACGTTTTCCGTAGAAATGATATTTATGTAGATTTCAATGATCTTTCAATACAGAAGAAAAAGTTCAGTAATTATTAAATATAGGACTTCAATCGTCAACTAAAGAAGGTTTGCAGATTTGATTATGGGAAGTCAAGGACTTTCGACAAAAATGTCAAATAACTAAAGAAGATTTGATTATGGGAAGTCAAGGACTTTCAACAAACCAACAGGCCCAAAAAAAAAAAATTGGACTTTCGACATATATCAAATGAAAGTACATCTACTTTGCCCCCTTGGTGCAGCAGTGATGGTTGGAGAGGGAGCCTCTAAGTGCTAGACTATTAATATCTAGCGTTTGAGTGTGAGTTCGATTCTCCTCCACTCTATAAATTTCTGACTTAAAATGCTACACAGAAGTGCATATCTTGCCGGATCTTCTTCCACAATGGTATGGAATAATAGTTTCATTGGGTAGATACACAAATCACTTTCAATACGGAAGCCGAGTAGATACACAAATCACTTTCAATACGAGAAGCCAAGTAGGCAATTTGGTGAGAGTGGAGATAAAAAATAATAATAATAAATAAATAGAATTAAACTTATAATCTTTTTATGAAAATATCTATTTTAATCACTTTCAATACGAGAAGCCAAGTAGGCAATTTGGTGAGAGTGGAGATAAAAAATAATAATAATAAATAAATAGAATTAAACTTATAATCTTTTTATGAAAATATCTATTTTCCGGGAGAGTGATAAGATATCCCGACACAATTGTTTAATCACAATAGAATAGTCTTACGTTGAACTCGAACTCGTAACTTCCAAGTCATAATAGAGCAACCTTAACATTATCCCAAAGCTCATTGTCGCCTATCTACCACATAAATTGTCAAATTAGTGAGATGATTCCTTTTTTTTTATCCCCGCTCAAGTCTATATTGCAATGGTTTTCATAACACACAGAGAGAGAGAGAGAGTAATGATTTTGAGTTTCTTATTTATCCAACTACAACCAGGGATGATAAACATAAACATGACACCACTAACAAATAACAAAGACCTCTTTTACATATGGAACCAGACTTATAGTTAAAACTTTAAATGTAAAGCAACACATAAACACAGAAATCATCAAAATCCCTGGAATCCAAAAGCAACACCAGTTTGCTTTTGCAAGTCCTGCAAGGTCAAAAAAAAAAAAAAAAAAGAGTAGTCAGATTATATAAATTCCAGGTAATTTCAGTAGCTTTAAAATATTTTTAGATTATTGATTTCATAATGACTAACTAAGAATTTACTGTGGTTGGGGTCACATCATTTGTAAATAGAAATTTATAAAGAGCCTGATGAAGCTTTTAAACTGACAATACTAGTTTTAGAACAGATAATTCACACAAAATTTTATGTTCTTTTTTTTTTTTTTTTTCCCTAGAAAGAATATAGTATAAAATAAACAAATCTAATTTTCAATGTGGTCCAGTTTAGAATATGAAAGAGGTAACAAAACAGTAGACATTTTTTTGGTTCAATTTGTCCAGTCTGATTTTTGTGAAAACAAAAGCTTACAAAGTAAAATTTCCAAGTGCCAATTATGAATGTGTACTTCTTTTGAATATTACCCCATTTGCAATTTAAAGTGATAAATTAGTTATAACAAGGTAGAGTACCACATCAAACCTTCATGTTCAAGAAGAACCCAACAAATTTTGTATGTCTTTCTGCAAAAAGGAAAAGAAATAGAACATCGATCAATTGCAATTCTTACACGTCCTAAGAACCATAGATCATTACCAATATATATATATATATATCGCACAAACCTCAATTTGTAAAGGTGATGTCCTAGGACCATATCTCTCTACAACCTTCCCTTCTTTGTTCACCAAAAACTTAGTGAAGTTCCATTTGATGCCGTCTACGAGCAGCCCACCTTTCTCTGATTTTAGGTACTTGTAGAGGGGTGCTGCATTCTTTCCATTCACATCAATCTACAACATCCCAAAAAAGTTCTTGTAAGAAAATTACATTTTCAATATACTCTTTGATCCCTAGCTTATACAATGACCAGAAAGATAACAAGAACAAACAATCCAAATTTTGTAACTTCGTAGGAATAAATATCATTTCGGTCTCCTAGATAAACAGGACTTCCACCATACATGCCTGCATCCAAAACTTGTTTGGACTGAACAATTGAAGTAGCCCATGTTTATATATTTGAGGAGGAGTCACAAGGCCATTGAGCCAATTTCGAGATGGAACTCAATATAATTACCATTTTCATCATTATTTAATCTTTATAAACAGAAAAAGGAACCATATATGTGTATATAGCATCTTCGTTCAAAACAATATTCGTGCCATATTGACTTAATGACTTCTATGATACTTCAATGCTAATATACTTTCTACATTGTTGAAATTGACAGTCACACAGTATAAATTCCAACCGCTTAATATTCACATTGTAGTTAGGCTGTTGACTATTATTTTCTATGTATTAAATCAAACAAACAAATTTAACAGTTTTAATCACATTATTTTAGCAAATACAGGTGATAATGAAGGTACTAAAAGAGCAACAATACAAGGTTTTTACCGTTACATTTTTATACATACTTGTTCTGCTATCCATTTCCACTGCAGAACACAATACATGTCCACGTCCATGGGATCACGGGCTTTTCTTATGCTCAAGGATCTCTAAGGTGAAATGTGTATGAATTGTGGATTTCAGGGCCTCCATACATATCTAGCAAAATATCTGGCACAAGCAAGGGGGTGGATTCCCAGTGTTCTTCCCTAATGATGCCTACATACCGTGCACTTACATATTTACGAATTACAAGTAGCATGTTGATTAAGTCCGAGTTTATTTACTCACCTTAACAAATTGACTGTTTCTGAGATGTCATTTTCTACAGAAAGATATACATGAAAAATCCAAGGTTTCAGTTTTAGTGTTACTTTTTATATTATGTACATTAAGAGTTCCAATTTGTAATAAAATCAATGTTCTCAATTTTGTGCGTGCATACATGTATTTTTACAAGAGCTTTTTTTATGTTGCAAGGACATGTTGCATCAGACAATAACACATTGTTCTGTTTCAAGAACATGCTTAGAAGCTTTATGTGGCACAATACCTGTTCTATTTTTAAGATTAAAAGTCGAACAAGAAAAAAGTGAGCAAGCTCCGCTACTCTGGTCTGAATCACTATTTTATATGATCCACTTCTCATATATTTTATAAAATCTTACTAAAAATGATTACCTTATCAAATATTGGGAACTCGGCTTTGAACATAGTGCAGGCAGTTTCCTGAATCTCCTCATTAGTTCCTGGCTCTTGCCAACCAAACTGGTTGCAAGGAAATGCCAAGATCTCCAAACCTGCCACAGAAATACCAGGCACGGCATTACGAATCTCAATTAATCTCTCAGGAGTAGAAGGAAACACACGGATATATAAATGGAAACATACACATCAGTGAATCTAAAGAACGATTACTGACCTTGGTCTTTGTATTTTTCATATAAAATGTTCAATTCTTTGTAGTTTGATTGTGTTAAACCACTGCAAAAGAAGGACCAAAAGCCAGAAAGTGAAAAGATAGTTTGAACAGCTTAAATATGGAAGGGGAATTTACTTCTCAATGTAAATTATACCCCAAGTAATAAGTAGGCTTGAAGAAATAAGTAGCATTTGCACTCCTAAAGTTTGAAACTACGGGTATATAATGGATATCTAGTACAATGTAATCTAGTAAGATCAAACAGACAAAAAAGCTACTTATACCCCAAGTAACCAAGTAAATTTTGAGAATTATGCAGCATTTCTCACTCCTGGCGTTCAGAAGTGAGGATCTAGAAATGTATATTCAACCATCGGATCCGGGTGTTGTATATTGCTGAATGGACATATCAGCATCACACTTAAAAATACGGTGTTCTAACTCTGCCCATGACTTGCATTGGCAACTTTACCCAGCGTAATGGGCATACCTCACCTCAGTTGGCACTAGTAGTTTGTTAATTCGAAGGTTCAATTTATATGGTAGAATCATTTCCCTATAGAACTTCCACAGCCAAAGGAAATGACTAGGAATATACTAATTATGAAGTTGTCAAAGCTTTACACAAGCTGTGTAGTGCAGTCATCGACCGTTTTAGAGGAATTGTTCCTATAAAAGTTGGTTCAAATATCTCAGTTACGCTACTTGGGAAAAACATCACGCTGGTCGGCCTTGTTAATGTCACTTTGTCAATTTCAAAATAGAGAACATTATAATTTACTACAAAACAAAGCCTCAAGCAGAAAGAAAACCAATCAATATACATAGTTGTCGTGGGTTTTTCCTTTTTAATGGCTCAATAATATTCACCGTATCAAACGTAACTTGTGCTATGTTTAGAGTTGTTGGCTTCTGAAAAAGTTCAGAACCCCTCGTAATCTTAAAGACATGGATTTTCAATGAAACTAAATCATCAGCCCCATAATGGTTCATTATCAGTTTGAAGATTACATAAAGTGTCTTTTTTATACATTTTACTAGTCCCTATGACAATGGAATTATCTTCTATCAGGGATCGGTCTAAAGGATGGCTTTTGCATCTTAAAATGCCACATAAATACAATAATCGGAAACATATTCGTGTGTGACATCTACAATGCCTCCTATGTACATTTTAACTTCACACCTCAAAATCCATTTCTGGATTATGAAATTCCATCAATAAGCTCTTACAATCAAGTACAAAATCGAGAACTTCAATGCAACTTTCTTTCTTTTTATTTTTCTCTGTCCCTAACATTCATCATCATTACAACCAATGTGAGAAAGCATCACTAACTTTGTTCTAATTCCTTCACCAACTACCTAAGAGCAGTGTTGTCAAAGGCGCGTCTCTAGGCTCCAGGCTCATACAGGCACGACACTTGCCCAGGTGTGCCTTTAATATGGAAAACCGATGCTTTAACAATAACTTAATTTTTCAATTGTGTGCCTTGCTTCACTTAGGCGCATGCCTCGGCTCGCGCCGTAGTGTGCCCCATCGGCCTTTGATAACACTGACATAGAGTTGAATAATCTACATTAGGATTAATTAAGCCATTAGGGATTCACAATTTATTATTATGACAGAACATCCTCCACCCCCGCCCCCCCATTTACGGCTTTAAAGTTTCCATATGGGGTTGTCCTAAAGATTCCAAAAGGTACTGTTAGTGTTCCTTGGTGACCTTGCAAGATCAAACAACCAGCATCTAGTGTATCATGTAATTCCATGAATGGATATGGTAAGCAAACAAAGCAACTGAAAAAAATACAAAATTCGGAAATTGTGTATTTGATGATCAAAATAAATTGGAGATGGATTGAGAGATCGAAACAAACCATTTCGAAGCAACATTCACTATTAGAAGCACCTTCCCACCGTAATTGCCCAGGGGCACATCATTTCCGCGAATGTCCTGCACTTCAATTAGTCAACAAGTGCATATGGAACCAACCAAAAAAAAAAAAAAAACAGGAACAAGTGGGGTTAAAGTCCCATAGTGCGCATTTCTGAGTGTTTGTGACTGTGGGAGTATTTACCTAACTAAAAAAAAAAAAAAAAGGAAAAAGTGAAGTGTCCCAACAGGACCAAGGAGTAAAAAGTAGAAAGAATTTGAGACAGTAAAAGAGGAATACTAGAAGATGAAGGGAAGAGGAGAATTCGGAACATGTTCCACAAGATTTATATTTTTCTTCCCTTTATTCTCTAAATCCAAACAAGCACCATGTAGGGGCAGACACAACACATCAAACTTTCTTTCTTTTCTTTTTTATTCTCAGAATCCAAACAAAGCACAAATAAGAAAGAGGCAAGAGAACTCAAAAGTAATATCCCCTAACTCTTCACACATACACACACACACACACACACATATATATATATAGAGAGAGAGAGAGGGAATAAAAGCATCAACTAGAGCCATCACTAACATCACAAAACAAAAAACTAAAGAATGAAAGATCTAAAGACAGATATATACATATAACCAAAAAAAATTGACATTAACTGGTGAGAAACCTAATTTATAAGCTAAAGATGAACTCAAAAATCAAAGCAAAAGAAACAAATATTCATGAGTGCATTTCAGAATAAATGAGAATTAAAAAAGAAAACATAAAAAAATAATACCTTAACAGTGAAATCATAAATGGATTTGGGGGTTTCTTCAGCCATATTTTTGAGAAAAAAGGAGATGGGGGTATCAGTACAATAACACCAAAGCAAAGCCCAGAAGCAGGTGATGCCCTGTTGGTGTATATCCCCACCATATAAAACAGGTATATATAGTCAAAAAAAAAAAAAAAAAAAATTTAATTCATTTATTCTATTGGAGAAATTTCTAGAGAAAAGAATACAAGCAAAGTTTGCTTGTTTGTTTGAAATGGAAGTTTGAATTTGACAATTAACATGGAGTATATTTTTCCATCAATATGAGATCAGGTGGCTGCTAAATGCTAATTAAAACAGGGTGGTGGCACTGGAGGAACAAGCTGTTTCATAGATATTGTCAAAATCCAATCAGTTAATGCCACGTAATCAAGAGACTTTGAAAAAAAAAATATTACTCGCAGAAAACTCCTCATGCACTCATTTTTCATAATAAAGGATTCTAATTTTCTGCTAATGTCTGGATAGCTTATTGTGAATTTTAGAGTGTGAAGCTCGACTAATAATTTTTGTAGAATAATTTTCAACAAGTTGTTCAACAAATCGTTTGAATTAGTTATATAATAGTTTTTACATTTTTTAAGAACTATTTTTGTTTTTCAATTTTTGAATAGAAAATTAAAACAAATAAGCCCATAAAACTGAAAAACAGATTCACAAAATTACAAATAAATAAACTTATTTTAAATAAGCAATTTTTAACTCATTTTTTTCAAAAACTGTCAAATAAATAATTTTTTTATTGAGAAGTGAATCAAATAGGTAATTCTAATTCTAAGGGGCCTTGTCATTCGTATCTTAAAATGGATTACAGGAGTTTGAGTCTCAAAAAATATAAAATAAAGTGTGTAAGTAGTGTGTGCATTATTCTTTTCAATAAAAAATATAGATTATAATAACAAAAGTCCATTACCACACTACATAAGGAAAATAATTTTTTTATTATTTTATTGGATAAACATTTATGTGAAATCTGTGTTCCTGTTAACTACTCTCATAAATACAAAAGATGTCAAATTACTACATCTTTTCCATAATTAATGAGAATGTGATAATTAACTGAAATATAAAAACGGAATCTCAATTTTAAAAAGGGTAAATTATACTTACCATCCTTAAAATTTAGACAAATTTCACATGAGTGGAGCAAATTCTAGAGTAGAAAATAGAAGCAAAGCTTTCTTATTTGAAATGGAAGTTTTTTTATTTTTTCAAAATTGTACAACCAAAAATATTAATACTTGTTTAACACCGATATGTGGCCACCTGGACATTATGTGACAAAATAATTGGAATATTAAATGCTTTCTTGTATAGCTAAAAGTTTTTATAAAATAATTTGTACAAAATTGTTGAACAAAATGGTTTGTTTAAGTTATTGGATAATAGTTTTTACAACTTTTAAGAATTTTTTTGGTTCTTCAATTTTTGAATAAAATAATAAAACAAATCAGCCCATAAAACTAAAAAACAGATTCACAAAAATATGTCAAAGTTATCTAAGATCATAGTCGAATTTAATCCAATACCGACACTCTTATTAAATTAATATTTTATTTTATATGCAGACGTAAACATATGATCCCGACACGATATCGTCATTTATACATGATGGGTGTGTAAGGAAACTAACAAAAATAAATTTTTTTTTTTATTGAATGAACATTTATGTGAAATCTGTCCCAACTCTCAACGAATCCCATAAGTACAAAATACGTCAAAGTACCACATTGATAAAATACGTCGATTTGAGAGGGATTGTGATGTGACAGCTATTAATATGTAAATAGAAATATGGAAGATTATGTTTGAAAAAAAAAAAAAAAATTTCAACCATCTGCTTTAAGTAATTTAAAAAAATAGAGGTTAAGCCTTCTAGAAGATACATGTGATTATAATATATAAATGGCCCTCATATTTATTATTAGATTGAGTTAAAGTCTTTTAGTTTTGAAAAAATTAAAACATGAAAAAATATCGTTTATCCTCAATGAGATCTTTTAGGTACATATATATCACTTTTTTGTGTTGCACAAAAAATAATACTTATATACAAAAAAAAAAAAAAAAAAAAAAAAAGTTATACATACGTGATAAAAGTGGTATTGTTGTGACCAAAATAAAAGTGACATGTAATGCACAAAAAGTAATACCTACTCAAAGCGGTATTTTAGTAAAGGTAAATAATATTTTTTCATGTCCATCTCAGCATTTTAGTTAACTTCATTTTTTTTTAAACTATAAGATTATGACTCCACTAAATGATAAATACAAGATATTAGCACCATTTATATGTAATAATCACAAGATATATTGTCCGATTGTAATATCTTTTCATCTACATTTTTTAAAATAAAGGCTTTTATTGGTGGATTTTGTTGCAAATATATTAACGTCATGTTTATAATTTATAGGGTAAGCCTCATTAAACCCATTTTCTATTTATCTTTTGTAATGAACTCTCCTTTTTTTTTTTTCCGTCAAAAATACCCCCTTAACTATCCGAGCAGTGATTTAGCTGACAGACATTATTTGGATATTGAGTTTTTTCAGATTTTTTAAAACGAAATTGCCAATGTACCTATTTTATGTATACGTTATGCATCATTCTTCTTCTTGCTAAGTTTCTTTTGTTTAGCCATGATATATATATATATAATTTATATTTAGATATTATATTATTATATATATCATTATAATATTATATATAATATATACTATTAAATATTAGTTACACTATCTTTGCATTTTCAACTAACTTGGAGACCCATAGGAATCTGGATCTTTCTTTAAAATTTATCTGCTAATTTATTTATTTTTAGAATTATATTGTAGATTCATTACTTTGGTTTTTATTAATTTCCATTTTATACGGATTTATTAAATTTATTTATCTTTTACAACTAACGAAAATAATAATTACATATTCTCCGAGGGCAACGTGATGTTAAGGCTATGTTTGGTAGGGTGGGTTTAAAGGGAAAGGATAATATTAGTTATGAAGGAAATGGAATGGAAGGGAAGGGAATGATAATTTTAATTTGGTATTATATTTGGTTGACTAAGGAAGGAAAAGAAAGGGAAGGAGAATAATTATGTTTAGGGAAAGAAAGAGAAGGATAAGAAGGAGAATTATTTTAATAAATTTACTATTATGCCCTTTTATATTTTAAAATATATATTTGTCTCCTTTTGATATTTTAAAATATATATATATATATATATAGTTATGAAGGAAATGGAATGGAAGGGAAGTGAATGATAATTTTAATTTGGTATTATATTTGGTTGACTAAGGAAGGAAAAGAAAGGGAAGGAGAATAATTATGTTTAGGAAAAGAAAGGGAAGGATAAGAAGGAGAATTATTTTAATAAATTTACTATTATGCCCTTTTATATTTTAAAATATATATTTGTCTCCTTTTGATATTTTAAAATATATATATATATATATATATATATATATATATATATATATATATATATATTCGTTCTCAACTCCATCTCTTTGCTCAACGCCGACCTTCTCTCTCTCTCTCTGCAACTACAAACTGACCCCCTCTTTCTCTCTCTCTCTGCAACTACAAACCGACATATTGGGCTTCCTGTGACGGCCCAAGTTTTGTAAACCCGGTGCGTTAGTGATAACCCCATGGTATGTCATATGCAAAAATATAACCCTTCAATGCATTAATCCACATATCTTCCATAGGCAACAATGAAGTTCAAAATTATCATACATTTCACATAAGTGTCTTTGGCCCTTGGCCTCATTACAACCACATTCCAAGAGTGTCAAAAGGTGCACTTAAGTACACATTACATAACTTAGACAATAAGTACAAGTTTTATCAAAGTAAGCAAAAGTAGGACAAGGTATTCTGACATGTGCATATTCTATGTCATCAAAATACTTCAAGAACTCTAGTAAGTCTAAGAATATTGTGCATCCCACACTAAGGCTTCTTTACCTGCAAAACACCCATTAACTCAGGGGTGAGTAAACAAGTTTACTCGTAGGAAATGCATGGGTTTATTTGTGTACCAAGTTACAATCCAATACCATTTAATTCATGCTATTAAGTAACAATAGAACTTTCAACATGATACAATGGGATGTAATTTCACAAAGCTAATAACTTGGAATTTAAATGCGAAATCAAACTAAAGTGGTTACTTGGACGTCACGCCGGATCAAACTGACAATGTGGTTACTTTAGGGTTACTAGCTCATGGGTTACCTCCCTATGTGCGCATTAAACAATATAAAGGGACAATCCCCCGTACTAGAACCAAGTTCTAGCCGTAGCCAAACAACGACATCCCCAAGTTTCCAAAATCAACAAATTGTGCAACAACGTATATATATCAACATGTATATACAAGATATCAACTATTTACCAAGTACAATCCAATTTTGGAAACTTATACAATACATGTTTAAAGTCTACAACTACTGTGGCATGAAAGATGTAAAATACAAAGTGTGCAATTACTTACACATAACAACAATATATTCAATAAGGAAAAACATATTCTCATGAATATAAAAATAACAACTATGTTATCCAATGCTCAAAAGTAATCAAGTGAGCATACACTAAATCCAAATCCAAATCCATGATTTAAATATAAAAACAACTTCCAAAATGCAATTAAATCCATGGAGTAATAAAATAGAATTTAATTAAACATAAATAGTTAAATTCTCTAAATTCCAAGTTAATCCCAAATAACGTCAATTTAATATATATTGAAGGACATGTCATGGTCATCACATATATAACATCAAATGACAAGTTAAGTAATTAAAACATTTAAAACAAAATTAATCAAACTAATTAATTAATTCCCTCTAGATTTTTAAACAATTCCAAATGCCCTCAATTTAATCTATGTTAGATAACATGCCAAGGCCTATCCAAATATCACATTACATCATGATTTCATGCTTGCTATCACCATGTGAATTAAACTTTTACAAAAGATAAATATTAAATAAATTTTGCAATTCTTATCCAAATGCTCCAAATTTAATATATGTTGTAGTACATGTCATGGTTATTATATAAATCACTTCAAAACTTAATTTAAGTCATAGGAGCATATAAATAAAAATTAATTAAATTAATTCACTAATCCCTCTAGATTTTAAAACAACTCTAAATGACCTCAAATTAACATAAGTTATGAATCAAGCCATGGTCATCTTATTTATCAAGTCTAAAGTGAATTA